ATAGTACTCAATGTAGACTAATAATAATGACAGTCTGTATTTTCTTATAAACGGGTGTTTTCAAGAAATGGAAGCTATTTTGCAGACAAGATCAGTTATGTTGTAAGTTACAATCGTGAAGTATTATAAATCAATACATTTTATTGTTATAAAGATATATTTCACAACTGTAATTCAGGTTGCGTCGTTGGTGTTGGCGATGCGCAATTCATGAGGAAATTGTAAGATATGGGACCAATAATGTTTGCAGATCATTTGTCATTGTAAATGGGCAAATATCTACATTCTTCATTCTCATTCAAAAAGTCAAATGGAAGCTGAAATGGTGAGAGACAAAAGAAGACAAACAACAACAACTCAAAAGAAAGCAAGTGGAGTACTTAGGGAGTGATGAATATGTATATATACATTTATATTCCGTTTAGTAATTATAGTTATTTTGGTGCACTAACTAACTATTCCCGTGATGCTAACTTTTATATTGTGTGAACTAATATTATTGTCCTGTGTAAAAATGTCTATCATGTACTTCCAATAATATAAACATTTATAATTGTAGTTTGTTGTAACTACACGTTTAATGAACTTAAAACATCTATGTTGGGCGAAAAAGAGGGTGTAGGATTCAGACTCAGAAGTGCACTGTCATCTTTGAGCAGTCTGGTGACTGAGGAGATGAACACTGCGAGTGTGTTTGCATCGCGCACATCAGCTGGTAGTCTATTCCAAATGACTGAAAACTTATTTAAGAAGAAATTATACCGCATGTAAGTCTGACAATGCTCTATAGCAACTAGGTTGTGATGATTTCTAAGATTGTAACTGATGACAGCGGTAGGTTTAATTATTGGCTCGGAGGAGTGCACGAGCAGATTAGTTAGCTTGTAGTAAAAAATCAGGTTTAGCTTAAGACGTCTTTTCCAGAGTGGTTCTAAACTTAGTCTGTCGCAACGTTCATTGTATTGGAGACCACTTTCTAAACCAAGAATTCTTAAGGTGAATTGCCGTTGCACTCCTTCTAACTTAAGCTTGTCATTTTGTCTGAGTCCGCTAAGAATAAACGGGCAGTATTCTAAAACAGGTCGGACACATACTTTACAACAAACGAAATTGCGAGTTATGCATCCTAGGAGCCTTCGTGTTTTACGTCTGGCATAATCAGTTTGTTCAGAGAACGTTAAGTTACTGGAGTATCTGATACCGAGATCTACGACTGAGTTGAGCTTGGCTAGTTTACGCCCATATATTTCAAGATTTAGGTCAAGGTTACTGTTTCCGATACAAATCCAGCCGCATTTATCAATGTTGAACTTTAGACAGGATTCAGTACACCATGTTGCGAGACTACTTAGCTCAAGATGTATTTTATTTACCATATCGCTTAGTTCATGAGCGAAGCGGGAGTAAACGATTTTGAGTTCGTCAGCATATAGCAATGATTTACCTGAGGTTGTGGTGAGTGCTACTTATAATCCGATATAAGTAGTATATCAGGAACGAATTAACAACATGTTTGGCACACCGAAAAGAGCAATCAAAGAAGAGAACCATGAGAAGAATGTTGCCATATGATGCGGAATCCAAGAAGCTATCGAATGAGACGATATTCGACCAATTCGTCAAGGATGTGGTAAAGATGTGCAAATGGCCGGTTTAGAATAAGTTATTCCAAATTTAGCTATGTTCCATACGTTTCACCAAATAAACATTCCTTTCAGTCTCTTCAGTCTTGTCTTCTTTACATTTGGTGTCACTGCTTCTGCCGGAGATGAAGGTGCCGTGGCCGCAGGTGTTCGAGGATGGAGATGTGCTGACGTTCCTCAGGGACTTCGAAGCTGTCGCGGAGCTGGTTGGAGTGCAGGAGCAGAAGGCGAAGCTGGTTGTCTTGGGAACGCTGCTGAGGGGCCGCGCGAAGGCTGCGTACGACAACGCTCGGGAGCTGGAAGGTGAGGCGGCGTGGGACAAGGTCGTCGAGAGGCTCATGTGCGAGTTCGACAGCTCTGCGGACAGACAAGAGGCGCTGCAGAAGTTTCGGACGCTGAGACTTGGACTGGATGGGGATCCGTTGGTTCTCGCAGTAACGCTGACGAATCACCTGCGACGCGCGTTACCCACCCTAGATGAAGATTCACGGGAGCAGTTGCTTGCATCTCAGTTCCTCGAATGCGTCCCGACAGATATCGCTCATCAGTTGCAGCTAGTCAACGCAGCTCAGCCAATGGATGTCTATGAAATGGACAAGGTGAGAAGGCAGATAATCACCTCGCATGTTGCTCCAGTGATGTCGGAGGGCCAAGATTCCAAGAAGATTGAAGACCAGATTGAAGAGTTGAAACAACAGGTGGCAGCTATGCAGATAAAGAAAAGAACAAACAACAGATGCTTTGCTTGCGGAGGAACCGGTCACTGGCAGAGAAACTGTCCGAAATGAAGGCAGAAAAACTTTAAAAGATACAGTCTTCCTTCTTTTTCTCGCTCGCGTTTAGAGGTGGTCGGGTTAGGCGAAAGAGGTTCAGTGTACGGGAGATTACAAGAGAAGAAAAAGAAATAGTTTGTTTGATCGACACAGGGCGGCAGTTTCGTTGATAGGTAGAGAACAGTGTAAGGAAATAAGGCCGTGCACATTTGCAGTTCAGACGGTAGGAGGACATCCGTTGCACATTCTTGGCGTTTCAGACTGCGTTGTAGAGATTTGAGCAGGAAAAATACGATATCCGTTTATTGTTACTTCGTTCCTGATATACTACTTATATCGGATTATAAGTAGCAGTCAACACAAGGTGAAGCAGTTGCAAATGCTGTTAATGTATACTGTGAATAAAAGTGGACCTAGGACACTACCTTGCACAACCCCACTTGTGATCTGCCTAGGATGAGACAATACAGATCCAACCTTGTTTATTTGTACCCTATTGCTTAGAAACGATTTTAACCAGCTCAGTAATAGATTGCGAATCCCACATGAATACAGCTTCTCAAAGAGAATACTGTGAGATACAATGTCAAATGCCCTAGATATGTCGAAGTAGAGAAAAACAACTAGCTTACATGCTTCGCGACTGCTAGTGACGCGGTTGAAAAAGTCGAAGTGGCAAGTAACGCAAGACCTATTTTTGAGAAATCCATGTTGAGACCTTGTAACAAGATCTTCCTTAAGTAGATAGTCTGACAGTTGATCTTTGACAACTTTCTCCATGACTCGCGAGACAACCGGGGTTATATTTATGGGTCTGTTATTGCGGACGTTTGCCTTATCACCGGATTTATAGTGTGGAATTATGAAGCTAGTTTTCCACTCATGAGGGTAAGTGCCGGTGTCCATAGATATTGAGAAGAATTTAAGAAGTAGTAGGGGTATATCACACCCACTGTTCTTGAAAATTATAGAAGCAAGGCCATCTGGTCCCGTGCTAGTGGAAAGTTTCAGGCTTTTATCTGCTTGTTCTATTAATTGGTTGGTGAACACTATGCTTCCGAGGAAAGAGCTAGTATGGGGGCCGGTCTCACCAGGAATGTGCGTTTCTAAACTGTAGTTTGCAAACCATTCACTGAATATTTCACAGATAGTGGCAGGCTCATTGTAGATGACTTTGTCGTGAAGTAAATAGGGGATGTCCCTCATCGACTGCATTCGTTTTTTAAGAAATGTTGTTAAGTTATAAACTTTGGAGGTGCTTTCAAGTGCCTTTAATTCTTCGTCGAGGTCCTTTTGAGAGCGTTGGCGCTTCATAGATTCAAGAGACTCATGGATTGAGTGCAGCAGTGATATATCCTTAGTGGAATAGTACTGTTTCTTCAACTTCCTTAACTTATTGCAATATGCAATCCGAATGTATTCAGCTTGGTGTCTACTTAATTTCACTACCTTCTTAGGAGCAACAGTATCTAGACAAAGGATAACATTCCTGTAAAATAGGGACACTATAGCCTCCAGGGAGTCAGTGGCAAAATACTCATCCCAGTGACAGAGTCGAATGAGTTCATGGACTAATCCCCAGTCTGTATGTTTGTAACTACGACAAATCAAGCTCCCTGAATCCTGTTTGTTTCCCGTATTTAGTGGTGAGAAAGGCAGAGAGCAGAGTACCATTCTATGGTCACTACTGGAAAATCTGTTACCAGCATAGGTGGAGACTGGGATTGTGTCATGACAAAACACAAGGTTCAACATGTTGTCACCACGAGTAGGTGTCTGGACGTGTTGCTGCCATCCATAACAATCGATAGTGGCAAGTAATTCGTCGAAGCGTTGCGGGCCGGAACTACTTAACCAATTGACTTCTGGAAGATTGAAGTCCCCTGCAAATATTTTGTAATTAGTACCAAACGATGAGGCGTGTGCGAATGATTTAGCTAATAACGCATCGGTTTCTTTGGTTGAGCTTGGTGCTCGATAAACACAGCCCATGAGAAGCTTGTACTTATCTCCTTGTAAGACGACCCAGAGTGAATCAGGTACCTCGTTCAGTATTTCATCTTCCACCTTACTGGCTACGAATGAGTTATGTATATATATGAGACATCCTCCACCACGCTTGCAGTCGCTATTTGCACGGTGTACAGTGTAATCATCTATGCCTATATGCACATCAAGTACAGAGTATGAGCACCATGATTCAGTAATCAGAGCTACAGTAGGCTTGGCGATAAATAATAATGTTCTTAGTTCAGATATCTTATTGATTAAGGAACGTGCATTAATTAGCAATATCGTGAATAAGTCACGGGATACTACAAACTGGCTTAAGATAAGCAGCCGCCTCCTCTTTTGTCAAATTCATCGTTCCTATAGACATCGTAGTCGTCTATTACTAGCTTTGAGTCAAGCATATCAGTAGTAAGCCAGGTTTCAGTCACCATTTCTAGTGTTGGCCGTTCTATGTATGCCAGGCAGCGAAGCGATGTTATTTTGTTAAGGAGAGATCTAGCATTCAGGAGCATATTCGTTAGTAAACCAGAGTTATTGGAGGAGAGGTTAACATGGTTACTTAAGCGCGCGATTCTGATCGGACGTCACAATCTCTCTCCATAACGTGGATATATTTTTACTGATTTCTGGAATATTGTAGTGGATATTATACCACTCATCAACTTTAACTTATATTGGCTGCTACCTTAGCTTCCAAATACGCAGTTATATCACCGCCAGTTATCAAGTTTAGATCCACTCTTTTGCAGTGCACATCCTCCTTTTTATAATCTAAGAACAACGTCACACTAAAGAAAACTATAGAGAAGTTCATTATTTTTGGTTTATAAATCAGGATCAATTTTTTAGGACAATTGGTTTCTATATAATCTGTATTTTACGGTTTAATACTTTTGTCGATTTATTGTTTATCTATAAGCAATAAGATCCATACCGTGCCTATAGTAGTTCTTAGTCTATATATCCACTCGATATATTATTTGTCCTTATACTTGTTTTCGATTTAGCTCAGCTTCTACTTCAAACCATACTGATCCGTGTTCAACAATGACTCAACGTAATAAACGAGTACTTTCTACACGTAAGAATAGTTTAGGTCACTCAGCTAAGAAGATACGTACATCCCTACACGTTCCACCTAGCCTCAACAACGTCCCCAAAGTCATTGTGTCCGATTTGTTATCAGAGGTATACGCAACTGCTAAACAAAATAAGTTGGACCTTATTTCTCTAGGAAACTCTGTGAAGGAATTAAATGATAATATAAACACCATTAAGCCGTTACTGCTTCTCCGTAACCCAACTCGTGATAGTAATGCAGAAAGTCTGCTGAAGGCTGAGCGTATGTTAGACTTTATAGCCAATGAAGTGACTAAACGAATCTTGTCTTCGTACAATGTTCTTGCTTACAATCTGCCTGATCGGACGCCTCTGGACAAAATTAAAGTGACATGTCTCCAAGCGTGTGGTATGCCATCAGCGGATTGCCACCTAATCAGACTCAGGAAAAAATCAGGAAAGTATACTTGTCCTGTGCTGTTTAAATTCAGTAGTCCTAATGATGCTAGGAAATTCCAGTCGTCTAACAAGCTAATTAGTTCATCTACACCTTTTGGCAACGTTAAACTCACTCATGACCTAACTCCATGTCAAAGACGTAGCCGCGCAAGTGTATCAAATGTCGCAAACACATACGTAACTGCAGAATGTCCTACAAAAGACTCTCTCGCCTTAGATTTAAGTATACCTAATGTTACAGACACGCGTGAAAAACAAATACCCTTAAATAATAAAGCTTTACCTAGTAAACTCAACAGTGAAGCAAATATGGCCATAGACTTAGATGCATCTTTAGAGTTATGCTCGCTAGACACATCATCATCAGCTGCTAATACCACTACGCAAAAGGCTAAGCTTGAGAATGTAGCATTCAGTATAACCTCCCCGAGTAGTACTCACAGTAGTGTGCACACAAAACGGAGTAATATAACCCTACCATCCAGAATACCTTCACTCAAACCCGTCACTGATAGGTTACTCAGCAGCAAACCAAATAACACTAACTTGAGTGACTCCAATCCCACCATTAACCCAGGGAAGCTGAATAAGTCTTCATACCACCATAAATATAACGTCAATGAAAGGAGAGGTAACCCGCCAATTCATCCAACATCGAGCAAATCTTCATCCGTTAGACAAAACAGACGCTATATGTCTGGGCACCCTAAAAATAAGTTGAAACCCTACGGGCAGGCATGCACCTACCCCGACACAACTCTCCTATCTATAGCTAATGTAGACAAAAGTTTGATCCAGAGACCCTTACAACAAGGAACAAGTGGGTTAGGCTTCTTTCCTAAAAGCGGCCTTCTGACTCACCACATCCCTGACAACCACCGGATACAGTCCACCCAAGATAATCGATGGACTAATATTTACGAAAATAACTTGAACACACAAAATATTAATCATAACTGCGATGCGCGTAACTTTACTCCAGCATACTATCCACAAGAAATACCTACCTCCCCTTCATCCAATCTAAATTTTCTCAGCCAACACGAAATTTCAGCCTCAATATTGACGCAAATAGCACACATACTGTCAAGCCACTTATCACCGGAGGGGAGGGCGATGCATTTCAGTCACGGTATTATGAACACCTCTACCCCGCCGGGGTAACCAACGATAGCACATCTCTCTGTGCTGATACTGGTGTAGTGCACTTTTCTAGCACTGCCAGTACGTTGCCACCATCTGAGTTAGCACCCATCAAACAATCTGCTCTAGATGCTACAAACCTTGAGGAAAACTTTTTTAAAGATATATGCGATTTCATCGTCACCCCTAACTCTCTCTCATTCTGTCTCATCAATGCTCGCTCCTTACTTAACAAAATGTTTGACTTCACGACATTATCCTTAATATGCAACCCGTCTCTTATAATGATTACCGAAACATGGTGCACTCCTCAGATATGCGATAAAGATATTTCTATTGATAACTATTACGTATTCAGAGGTGACAGAAACCATGGCAGAGGAGGAGGATGCGCTATGTATATCAGGTCTGATATTAAGGCCACACAGTGCTTCTACCCAGAGCTCATCACAGATAATGACTCAGTCTGGGCTATTCTAAGGCTGTCTCACTCCATTTCCTATCTTTTAGGTTGCATCTATCATCCCCCATGTTCAGCTGTTGAAGGTGATATGAAACTTGCTAGCACTTTCGCTTACGCCACTTCACTACCTCACACGGCTAAAATTATATGTGGGGACTTTAATATGCCTGAAGTAGTCCGGCAACCACTTTCATCACCAAAACGGTATCATGAATTTTTTAACATAATAGAAACAAAAGACTGGCAACAACACGTACAGCATCCTACCAGGCTATCTAAGATTTTAGATTTAGTTTTCACCAATGGTATCATCCCCACTACCTTTCGAGTAGGTAAAGAGTTTCCTGGTAGCGACCACAGAGTAGTGTTAGGTACATTCAATATTTGCACTAGCATGAGTGCGACAATAAGTGCCAACAAAGTATTATTCAGGGGTTACAGACACGCTCAGTGGGATGACCTGAAACCATACCTACGCACCCTAGACTGGGGACCATACTTTACATGCAGCTCGGCTATAGAGGCAAACAACTTACTCTACGAGAACCTAGGATTTGCACATGACTTCATCGCTCCAGCAAGACTTGTGAAAACGAGGCCTAAACAGCCTGACTTCATTCCCGTAAAGATTCGAAACCGACTGCGTAAGCATGCTAGGCAATTCTTCAGATGTAGTGACTTTTCATCACTCATTACACTCAAGCAAACTTATGATTCATACAAATCTAATCAGTTATCTGAGTCCATCAAACTAGAACGCATCCTCCTTTCACGGCCCGATAATACAGAGGCATTGGTAAAACTAATCAAGTCACGAATTAACAACAACAGAATAAGTATCCCTAACTTATTACTAGATGGAGAAAAACTATACGAAGACCCACAGGAGATATGCGAGTTATTCAGCTCCCACTTTTCTAGCTACTTTACTAACGAAGAAACAGTAGGTAGTCTTGATGTTCCGATAATACCATATCACTTTTTGGGTAATATAACATTTACCCAACAAAAGATTTCCTCCGCTATAGCATCCCTCCGGACATCATATAAAGCTGGACCTGATGGAATTCCATCTATCTTGTTGAAAAGAGGTGGTGAGGACATACCCATTATCCTCCTAAAGTTTTTCAATCTGTCCTTAAATAATGGCAGTTACCTAGACTGCTGGAAGCTGTCGTTTATAACCCCTAGGCACAAACTAGGACCAACTTCTAATATCGAAAACTACCGACCGATCAATATCACGTCAGTAGTTTCTAGGGTTATGGAAAAAGTTATAGGGCAAGATATTGCTTCATACCTCCACCTTCACAAATTGTTTACTCCAGCACAACACGGCTTCTTGAAAAGTCGATCATGCTCCACCTGCCTACTTGACTACTTTGATGATGTTACCGCTAAGCGAGATCATGGTTTGCTTGTCACAACCCTCTTCTTTGACTTCAAAAAAGCCTTTGATAAAGTCCCACACAAGAGACTAATCCTTAAGCTAAAGTCGTACGGGTTCCAGGACCCCTTGTTATCCTGGCTCGTTTCTTTCTTGGAAGATCGTTCCCAAGTTGTGAAATTCGCAAATAATTACTCGTCACCCAGACCCATGAGAAGTGGAGTAATTCAGGGTAGTGTACTAGGTCCATTGCTTTTCGTAATCTACATTAACGATATCTGCAGCGTAATCAAGCATGGTACCCCATACCTCTTTGCTGATGACTTAAAGATTGTATACAGCTTCCCCCATTCTACAATGAACGAGGGATTCACACATATTCAAGATGATCTGGATAGATTACATAACTGGAGCACTGATTGGCAACTGCCATTCAATTCTGATAAATGTGGTGCCTTATATTTCAATAACTCCCACCCGTATTTCAGGTTACACCTAGGTGACTCCTCTCTCCAAACCCTCAATTCCATAAAAGACCTGGGAGTTACCTACTCACAGAACTTAACATTTAGTCAGTATGCAAAAGCACTTGTTTCTAAATGCCGAAGACTCACAGGCTTGTTACATCGAAAAATGTACACAACTGAGGCTAAAGTCCTTTTATACAAAGTCATGGTTCGCCCAGTAATTGAATACTGCACAATTGTCTTCAGTTTCATGAATGGGTATGATAGGGTTCGTACTGAAAATATTCAGCGAAGTTTTACACGACGCCTATTACACAAACATGAAGGACTGACTTAGGCGGATAGGTGCAAAATGTATAGACTTCAGCCACTTTGGTTAAGGCGCCTGAAACTCAACCTTACATTCCTTTTTCGCCTTTACATGGCTACCTCGAAAGCAGTAATCCAATAGCTTTCAATAATTTAACCATATATACTCTTAGAAATCATGAAAATACTCTATCCATAAGCCTGTACCGGACAAAACTACGATCACGTTTCTTCAAAATACAGTACAGTGCCTTATGGAACGAACTTCCACTTAATGTACGTAGTTGCCGATCTCCCACTGAATTCCAGCGTCTCCTTAACGAGTTCTTGTCAACAAAAGAGCTTCGGTCTACTTATCCATACTTTACCCATATGGGCTGTTCATCTAACTTTGGTACTACAGACCCCAGTGCAATACCCCCAATTTGAGGAAACTCATTTGCCCCAGCAACAGTACCGCACCTAAAACGTGATAAAACCAACCCAATTTCTCCCACATGCCTTGATCTGAGGTTTGGTTATTCAGCTTATTGGAGATCTTATCAATATTTCATCAATCGGGCTTATAAACTCATAAGACTATCTATAATTATCCTGGACGTATAATCCCAAATTAGTTGTGATAGTTCTTTCATAATATAAGCAAACTGTTACTTTGTAATGTCTAAAGCACTCCGTATGAAAAGTGGCCAGGAAAACTTAGCAATAACAAACTCAGCCAACCAACCATTTTCCCCAAGCTCATTCAACCTAACCTTATCTTTAATCGTACCACTATCCACTACACTCTAATCCGTAGATTATGTCTTAATTTGACCCAGTACTGAAAACTCTTCTACCTTTTACTTTTAAAGATGTTCTAACTACTAACTGCGCAGCAACCGTTTAACTAACTCACTGACTTTCTCTTCACTGTAATCTTCAATAAGTTCGTCAGTGTAATTATTTCCATAAACAATTACATTAGCAACCATATCTTTCAATATTTTACATATATACTTATATTATTAGCACTATTTTTGAGTTGAAATGACTATCTTCAGTCAACACCTACCCATATTTATATAATTTTCTAAAAAATTAATATTAGTGAAATTATGCAGTATTTCTCCATTATATGATTGATAAGTCACTTTGCAATGTGTAACGCACACCATATAAAATCGGTCGTGAAAATTTAGCATAACAAGTTCTGCTAACCAGTTGCCTTACTCAGGACCACTTTACATAACTTTATCACTAATTGTTCCACTACTCATATCACTCTGATAAATAGAATATAACTTAGTTGTTCTAATATTAGCTATTTTTATACTTCATAACTCTTAAGGGAAACCTAATTTCTTAGTCTTTTGTAGTAACCCACTTGTTCACTAGTATGATGATAATATTGCTAACGATGTCCTCTGGTATTATTGTGCCATGTGACCTAATGGGAAGCACTTGTCATGAAAGCTGTTAATGTGCAGCATACTGTATGATTGGGACGGAGTCAAAGCAATCCAATATTACAACTGCAGTCATTGTAAAAGGTCTCAGAGCTTAATGTCAAAAAAGGAGGGAGGGTGGCGCATGCTGATCAGCAGGTTTGGTAGTGGTCACAAATACGAATCGCTCCGATCTGTAGGACGGCAACATGCATTATTTTGGCAGCTCGAGAACTAAACATGAGTTTAGATACTAAATGTATAAAAAAATAGACTTTAAAAAAAATTAATTGAAAAAATAAAACAATAATGACTGTACAGTTTTAGCTTGTAAAAAAATAACAATGCTTTCGCTCCTAACATCTACAAGCCTGCTCAGCTTCTCGTCAAGATGCTATCCCATGGGCCATACACAAGTTCGCCAAACATCCAACAGGTTCTAGTCCTTCTAGCCACTTCTCTCTGAAATGTTACTTATATACTTCACAATAATCCTTCTACCTAATTACTATTATACTCTATTTTATCTCAACTTCCTAAGATTTTAATGAAGCTGAAATTTTTTCCCTCTTCTCATTTACACCCTTTTCTCGCGTAAAGTTCGGTTGCTCTGATGATAAAAAGAACAACACTCATGTTTGAGAATAAATATATTTTCATAGAAAGCGTCATAGTTTTCCATGGTAAGACCAATATGGTTAGCATCATACATTGCAAATGTGTACTATCATTTCAAGTACTACATAGCTTCTTGTATTTATCTTGTAAATATACTTTTAATAATGTATTATTCATAATTGCATTCTATACCATTTTGCGGCTGCGCCAGATTTTCTTCAATTCCAAAAATAGCGTCCAAGCATTTGAAGGCATAGCACTCACACAAATATATGTTGTTTATCGATTGGTCATAACTATCATCGGGAAATGGAACGAATTTCGGGTTGTCGCTCAACTTCGATGGTGACCTTCGTGAAATATTTACAAATTAACATTTATAAGAATCTGTTCTGATTGCTTGTACTATAACTCAACAATACGAACTTTTTGAAAAAGTGACAATGTATGCTAATTAACAATTGT